ATTAACAACACAAAAAAACCAGAACAATTACAAGAATAGTCCATACTTCTAGCATTTTGTATTCATCATCAGACCTCGACTTGTAGTTTTAGTTTAAGCCTCTTTTTAAAATTAAATAATGTATAGTTTCAGAATGTAACAGGCAGATCATTATATAATTGAATAGCATTGTAGCTGAATGATGTTTTGTAGACAGCCTTAGAATGTAAGGGTATCACTAACATATTCCTATTCCTCGTATTCAGTTGATTTATGTCACTACATCGTGTTAACTTATCGTGCAAATATTGTGGTTGTTTGGTAGCTAAGACCTTATGTGTGAGTGTCAATAAGTGAAGCTTTTGCATGGCTTTAATATGCAGAACACCAAGTTCCTTAAATTTATAAGAAATATGATCAAACTTTCATATTTCGCAAGAAAATCTGACGCACGAATTCTGAATAGGTACGCTGTAATTTGCTTTGTTCACTATATGATAGAACTGCGCCATATACGTAGTCGTGCCATAAGTTCTGTCCCATGATAATCTCATGATAAAAATGAAACAAGATAAGATATATTTATATGAAAGATATTATTTATTCGACAACATTTTTAGAATTCATAATCAAACAGTTTTATTCAAAATGTCCCCCCTTGGCCTTCACACACTGCTTCAATCTCGCGGGCCACTCATCTATCACTGCACGCACAGCTTCCAAAGGAATAGCTGCCGCTGATCGGATCAAATCCGCTTTCAGGGACTCGATATTACGGTGGGCTTTGGAGCAGGCCAACTGCTCTAGCAGGTCCCACAACTTGTAGTCTAAAGGATTGAGGTCCGGACTCCCTGAGGGCCAATCTTCCGCAGCAATGAACTCTGGCACATTGCTTTCCAGCCAGCGCTGCGTACTCTTAGCCTTGTGAGCGGGGGCGGAATCCTGCTGGTAGACCCAGTGTTGGTTGGCAAACAATGTACCACTTAAAGGCTTGACGATAGGATCCAGTATGTCGCTCTGATAGTTTGCCGCTTTTGTTTTCACGCCCTGTTTACAGAAATGGAGCTGAGTGACCCCTTCGTAGGACACCCCCCACCAAACCATGACTGACGCAGGGTGGTGGCCTCTCTCAACTCTCGGAATGATCTCCGAAGCTTCCTGTGAACTCCTTGCATACACTCTGTCATTTTGTCGGTTGAATTTTTCTTCTATGGTGAAGATTTTCTCATCCGTGAACAAAATCTTTCGGAATCCCCCAGCTGCGTACCTCTCCAAGAGCTTCTTGGATCTTGTCGCCCTGATGTGTCGCAAGGTGGCCGTAAGTCGCTGGCCCGTACGTCTCCGGTAAGCCCCTAGCCCTAGGTCTTGTTTAATGATGCGCGACGTCGTCCGGACAGGAATCTTCATTTCCCTGGATAGGATCTTCTGCTTCCGGAGTGGATTCCTTTGAATCCTGGCTTTTACGGCTTTGATGGCTGCTGGAGTCCTTACTTGACGAGGTCTTCCGCTTCTTGGCCTGTCATCAACAGAGGACGTCTCATTGTACCGCTGAATGGTCCTAGACACAAATTTACGCGATATTTGAAGGCCGCGTAAGAGTTCAAAAATCTGACTAGCACTGTGATTACACTTATGTAAAGCTATCACTGCAATACGGTTCTCTGCCTTGCCCCACTCCATCGTTATGCTTCGAGAGATCAATACAAACTGAGGTATATGTAATTACCCGAAAAGCGCTTAATCAACTGACACCACAATGTAACAATCGGACAAGTATTAACAGGTCTACACTTGTTTGAAAACGAGGGACAGAACTTATGGCATGACTACGTATACTGTCACAATAACTGATCTTTGATATAATTAATGTTTCACGCAGTATCAGCTTTACTGAAGTAGATATTATTTGCCTATGTGGATAAAACTGTTTCAAAATGCAGTATGATGCACTACATAACGAATTTACGTGTTTTTTGTATTTTAGTTCTGTGTCAATCCAGAGTCCCAAGTTTTTACACCCATTCATTATAGGAAGCCGGCAATCATAGATTTTAAGGTTAATTTCCGTTTCGATCAATGTTCTTTTGTTTTTTGAGCCGAAAACCATAACTGAAGATTTAGATGGATTAATTTTTAGGTTATGCGTGCACGAGATGTCTACTAGCCTTGTTAAGTCTTCGTTGAGCAATGCTTCTGCTATTTTAAAATCTTTGTGTTGAAAACTAAAATAAATTTGAGTATGGATTGTGCAATTATGAACATATTGATGAAAATCCGATATATATAGAGAGAAAAGTAAAGGTCCCAGTATGGAACCTTGAGGAACACCAAAACTTATAGCAGTTGACTGTGACATTTTCGAAGCTGTTAAGACCTTTTGATTTCTATTTGACAAATAGCAGCTTATCAAATTGACTGCAGCATCATTTTACCTTAGCAATAGATAAAAACGGTTCCCTTGAAAATGCTGATATATTAACCGGTAAAGTCTTGCAAACTCCGTTGCAGCTTTGGTAATGGATTCTTTGTGAAGGTTTGCAAAAAGAATGAAAGCTACTCAACCGTCCGATCCGATTTACCCTGAAATGAAGTCTCACTGCTGTAACCACCTCGCAATGTATAACAAGCTCAACTTTAAATCCACACAAAACCTCTTTGCTTTCTGTTAACTGAAAACTTCTAAATAAGAATGCAGAAATAAGAGTTGGAGGATCTGAATATGATGTATTCTTGTTATCTCTAATTTAATTAGAGCCACTGTAATCAGATTGCTTATATCTTTAAACATAATATGTACATACTAGATCCATATCATAGTTCCACGTATAATAAAGTCGAAATAAAAGATAGGTTTGCAAAAATTCCCACAAAGCTGGAAACTCGTATAGGCCAAAAATATAGTCAGTGACATTTGAAGTGTGAAAAAATAATTTCATCAAGTTGTTTTTTTGGCAACATAATGACTATATGTAAAGCATCTCATTTTGTCGATGCCTAGACGTATACAGGAGTGCATTCAGTTGCGGGGTCGCACATCATTATTTTTTTTCTTATTACTTCTCAATAAAATTTCGTATGATCATGTTGAGAAGACCGTCGTAAACCTGTTGACCGAACGGCGATAAAGAACAAACTGATTTTCGATTTATGCTGGTCTCCCGGGTCTAGCGCGATACGCTGAAATCGCGCGGCATCATGTATGGCCGCCCGCATTTAACTTCATTGACTTGTTTTAACCAGCTAGAAACGCTCGTATTGCGATCTCGACAGAATCGCAGAAATTGCTTTCTGTGCGGCCGTACCCTAAGCCTACTTCATTGCCAAAAAAATCAAGTTGAAGAAATTATTTTTTCTGGGTGTAACACTTGTAATATCACTGATATATCAAAACTCCTCATATATTCGTGGAGCGGAACCTTGTTTTATTTTGGTTGAAATGTCAAAAATATCACGTTTTGACATATTTCTCTGAGGGGGAAAGAGATTCCACAAAAATACCTTATGCAAGTTTGGTAGAACACTATTATCTACAAAAGTTTTTGAAGTACTTTTATTCCTTAAGTCACCGTTAATGAGATATAGTCATCTGTAGACTCTCAAGTACTCTTCTGCTCATATGCGACCAAGATAAGGATCCTATGCATGGGGATCTCAATACCGGTGGGAGAAACAGGTTAGGTTAAATAAGGAAAGAGCTGCGTTCTTTGGGATGTATTTGCATGTCGTTCAGAAACTTGTAAAAATGTCATGGCTTACTGAGGTATTTGAAAAAAACTAAAATTTGGCCAAATTGATTTTATGTTCTTCTGACTTTATTCTAAGAAATATCAAAAAACATTGGAACTTTTTATGCAGTACATGATGGTGTTTTTAAATTTTGTACCCGACGTGTCGTTTTTGAGAAACCATCATCTTTATATTATTTATATATTATTTTTTATATCGTCTTAAATTCAACGAAGTATCACATGGTACATTTATTTTCTCAGTTACAAAGAAAAAAAAATATTTTCTCATTTTATTTAAGTAAGCGTTGCAAACAAATGCTTGATATAAGATTGTGTGATTACTGATAGATGCATATTACATAATGAGATGATGCGGTAAAATTTTATAAAATAAATAAACAAATAATACTTAATCTAATGGTATTCAGAATAAACAATACAGTTTTATTATTAATTTTATCCTATATTTTCTATACATAAATATGATCTTCTAACAGTAGAGCTCAAAACATCACGTAACATCTCTGGTGTTCTCATACTAAATGCTTCCATTACACATTCTCGTACCTGCTGCTTAGTTTGAAAAGTATGATGATAAAACCCCAAACAAAAACATCCAGAGGAGTTAAATCCGGGAAACGCGCTGACCATGATACTTCACTGGAGGTTCCAATCCACCTTCCGGGTAATCGCAGGAGCACCATCTTGTTGAAACCAGCAGCGGTTAACCTGTCCCAAAGACAGGCACCGTTCTGCAGTCAATGAGTCATGGTAAATAAATGAACCCAATATTTTCGTCCCTAGAATTCCATTTCACATATTAAGCCGTTGATGTCTGGATCCTTTTTAGTCCGTAGATTTTCTTGAGCCCAGTAATGAGTGTTGTTACGATTAAAGCTAGCATTAACAATGACCACCATATCATTTTTGGGAAGGGAAATTAAAATCTTCACATGTTCGTGTGTACCACTCACAAAAATGTTAGCGCCGTTCCCCATTCCCTGGTATAAGTCCTTGGAAAATCCTAAATTTATAGTGGTGATATCTATCTTTACGCAAAACGAATTGGGTTGTGGATTTGGCTACTCCTACATAGTTCTCAATTTGTCTAGTTGATACCTCAGAGTTCTCAGAAACTGCTTGTAAAACACTGTTCTGAATTTTTTCTAAAGATTCCTTTTTCTCGAGACTTAATATGCTTTTTGAAAAAATCATATTCATTTAAATTTCAAGTCAACTATAAGAAAATGGTGATCCAGGAGAATAAAAACATAATGTGGTTTATCATTGCAGGTTTGACGCGTGTCACCTGTGACATGGTAGATTACAAGCATGTGACAGCGATGGCTGACTACGCTTTGCGCCTTCGCGAACAACTGCAGGAGGTAAACGAGCATTCCTTCAACTCGTTCCGAGTACGCGTGGGCATCAACGTGGGGCCAGTGGTTGCCGGAGTCATCGGAGCTCGTAAGCCCCAATACGACATTTGGGGCAATGCAGTTAACGTCGCTAGTCGTATGGACAGCACAGGGGTCTGCGATAAGATTCAGGTAACTTAGACATCAACAGTGACGCACACTTAGTGACCCTCAAGTGAATATTAATCATTTGTCTTCCACAGTAACAGTTGTTGCAACAGATGTTCAAATTTTCCAAAGTTTTAATTGTTTTCAAAGCTTAGAAATTTACATAATTTTCATGATTTTAGAGATCACCATTTTCCACAATTTTTAAACTTTCTTAAATATTTAAAATTTCCAGCTTTCAAAGCATTGGATATTTTGAAAACCTGCGATACAGATACAGCCTACTGTGGAATGCACATAACAAATGTCCACTTGAAGGACAGTGGATGAATTTTCAAAAAGTTGTTTCCACTGAAATTGTCCAAATGCGTCTCAGGAGTATTTTGAATACACAAAAATGATGAGCGTTCCTACATCTGCAACCAGCGGAGCCATGTCTCATTCAAAAATGTTTGAGCAGCTTAAATTCTTTTGCTTTACTAACCCGATGATCCATCATTATTTACCGCAATGTCAAAAAGGCAACAATATTTCTTTCTCTAGGTTAATAATGAAAACAAACAAAAAACGCATAGGTTAATAAAAATCTCATTTGACATCTTATGCTACCAATTTAACAACTGAACTCTGTATTTGGAAGACCGATTAAGAAAAAGTAATTTTGAGTATAGCGCCCATTAAGGGGGGCATATGTAGTACCCTCGCTTCCTCTTGGGAAGTACAATATACCTAACAGGGTACCCGTTTCTAAGCAAAGAGTGGCATCTAAGCTGTTTTCGAAACACCGTTAGATCTGAGTTGTGGAGATGTGCCGCCCTCGTCCCAGACGCTCAGGCCCCTGAAGAAAGAGGCACGTACATTTTTAAAAAATACAAACAATCCGATTGCGGTAACTGAAGGCAATGGAGAATCAATTGTGCTGCCAAGACGAATCTAAGGACGTCTTAAAGTTGCATTTATAACTGCTTTTAGGGTCTACTTTAGTAGTCTCCATTCGATATTTCGGTAGTCAATAACAGAGGGTGATCAAAAAAATTTAATGGAAATTAAATTGTGAAAAATGCCATTTTTTCAATGGAAACCCCCAGTATATAGTTTTGTATGAGGTTATCTACGTCAGATATTAGTAGTTTAGAAAATTCCTGCAAATATTGTCTATCACTACATCGCTGTTATTCTAACACTATCTACCTGTACTTGTTTGGAAATTAATTGAATACACAGCCGATAAAGTGTATACCGCGTATGAGAGTTAGAAACTCAGAAGGTTCTCAGAAGTTTAAAATTAAATACATAAATGGCACTCCTAAGTTAGTCAGAGATTTAAACTGACAAGTTCCAGCAGTTCCGATGGGTTGAGCAGGTCAGTTTCTTTGTATTATCAAAATGTTCGGGGTCTGAACAGCAAGGCTGATACTTTCTATTCTTCATCATGTGAGTGTGAGTTTGATATCGTGGCATTAACTGAGACATGGTTAAGTGATGGTGTTTCCGATTCTGAATTTTTTCCAAATGTCTATAATGTGTACAGAAAAGACCGTAAATTTGATAGAGTAAATAAATCGTCTGGTGGGGGTGTTATATTGGCTATAAAGGACTTTATAAGCTCAGAAGTGATAGATGTAGCAGCTTTTGATACTCATTTTCCGTATATTGATCTGCTAATTGTTAAGTGTAAGGTAGAATTTAAAACTTTTTATATAGCCACTTTGTATGTGCCTGACAAAATAGGACTTGAGGAATTTGAGTCATTTTTTGAGTGTTTTGAGCAACTGGATTATTTAAACAACAATAGCACAATCCTAGTGGGTGATTTAAATGTCCCGCATTTTGTTGTGAACAACCCTTCTGATGCTAAGACAGAAATTGTACTCAACTATATGACCTTGTTTAATCTCAGACAGTATAACGACGTCCGTAGTGAATTAAATCGGTTGCTTGATTTGGTCATATCTCACTACTCTTGTGTAGTAGCTCATGACTCCACGCCTATGGTGCCTGAGGATGACCATCATCCGGCACAGTTAATTAGTATACCAAATTTATTTGCAAGGGAGGCTAAATTTCGCTACAATTTAACGAATAAGGTATACAATTTTAGAAAAGCCGATTTTCCTTCACTGTATAGAGAACTCCTATCAATAAATTTTACTTCGACTGTGAATTCTGATGATATAGATATCGCAGTAGATCATTTTTATGAAAAATTGTACAGCACTTTTGATACTCATATACCTGTATACAAAAATTATTGTCACAAGTATCCACCTTGGTATAATTCCAATATTATTAAAAGTATTAAACAAAAAGCTAAATACAGGAAAAGGTTTGCTAAACTTGGACATCAGTCAGATCTTGAAGAATTTCAGAGACTGCGCCGTTCAATCAAATCTCAAATAAAGAGGGCGTATAATATCTACATGGAGAATGTTCAGAATAGTTTAGTTAGCAATCCAAAGAAATTTGATCGTCGAACATGAAAATAGTACATCACGATCTGTAATAAGTATCAAAATAATACGTACTGTCAGCCTGTCAATGTATTTGCTAACTTTTTCAGCAGTGTTTACCACCAATCAGACTTAAACGTTGATATCGTTGAGCACGTTAACCATAACATCGATCTAATTTTAGCTCCTATCCAGGATAGCGAAGTTATTTTAGCCATTAGTCAGCTAAAGGATAAGATGACTTCGGGTCCTGATGGTATTCCTTCGTTCCTTGTAAAGGACTGTGCTAGAGCTTTTTCTCCTGTACTTACTCTCTTATTCAACATGTGCTTAAAATCTAATATATTCCCGAATATATGGAAGGTGTCCAAAGTTTGTCCGGTCTTCAAAAATAGAGAAAAATCAGATGTCGAGAATTATCGTCCAATTTCTCTTATATGCATTTTTGCGAAAGTCTTTGAAATAATCTTGTACAATCGCTTGTATCCTTCAATAAAAAATCAAATATCACAAAAACAGCACGGTTTTGTCAGCAACCGATCTACAGTCACCAATTTGGTTATTTTAACCCAATATATTTCTGAAGCTCTAGATGATAACTGCCAAGTTGATGTGATCTATACGGATTTTTCAAAGGCATTTGACAAAATTGATCATGGGGTTTTGTTGATGAAACTTGGTCACTTTGGTCTCTCACTTAGCGCTATAACATTCTTCAGGTCGTATTTGTCAGAGCGAAAACAATTTGTTGAATATAATGGCTTCAAATCTGAAACCTACTTAGCCTCATCTGGTGTTCCCCAGGGGTCCAACTTGGGACCATTGTTATTTTTATTATCCAGAAATGATCTTTGTGAAAGTATGAATGGTCAACAGTTATGCTTTGCAGATGATATGAAGATATATTCATCAATCAGTGACGTGCGGGATTGCTTAGATTTACAGATGCAGTTAAGTAGTGTTAGGATTTGGTGCGATCTCAATAAATTACATCTAAATATAAGTAAGTGCAGAGTAGTTAGCTATAGCAGAAAGAAAAATGTTCGTGTATTCAACTATAATATCGATGGTGTGGTGCTGGAAAGAAGCGATATAGTCAAAGATTTGGGTATTATATATGACCATAAATTAACATTTACTACTTATATTTCGCGGAAAGTTTTGGAAGCCTTTAAGTCTTACGGTTTCATTGTCAGGAACTGTAAGCGATTTGATAACTTAAGGGCCTTAAAAGTCTTATATTTTACATATGTACGTACAAAACTAGAATATGCGAGTGTTGTATGGAATCCGTATTACCAGACTTATATAAATGATATTGAGAGGGTCCAAAGAAAATTTCTAAAGTTTCTATACTTGAAATCTGAAGGAGTTTACCCTGAGCAAGGCATTAGCATAATGGAACTATGTGAGCGTTTTGAAATTCACAGTTTAGAATGGAGAAGGAAAGTTTCATCTGCCATATTCCTTTTTAAACTGCTAAATAGCATTATTGACTCCCCAGTCATTTTGGCACAGATTAATTTCAATGTTCCTTCGTTCTCTTCACGCAACTGTGTAACTTTTAAGCTATCAAGGGCTAGGACCAACGTGTTAGTCAAATCTCCTACATATGTTATGTGTAAACATCTACATTGTATTAGCTGTCATTGTGATATATTTACTTGTTCGCTTAACTCAGCAGTTAGAATGGCTTATTTATATTTGAAATAACTTTTTTTTTAACACCACTGAATATTATTTAATTGTGCTTAAGTAATTGTCCTATAAATGGGGTAACTGTTGGACAATAAACGCTATTATTATTATTATTATGAGAATGTTATACATATTGATTCATTTTCAATAATTCACCGCGCCATGGCAAATCATGCTAAATTGACCATTAAAACCCGTAAAGAGGGATAGAAAATGAGTATTTGCAAATATTTCCTAAGCTACTGGTTTTCGAATAGTAAAAAACTATCCTTATTTTTATTGCTTGATATGTTGACCGTTAGTATTATTTACAATATCATTTTCATCCGATGCTTTTCAATACCTGGCATTATTGATTATCAAAATGTCGAATGGAATCACGGAGTGTGTTTAGCATCTTCGTGGGTTTTTTTTTTCGTGGGTCTACGAGTAGTGCTACTACTACAACTCCATGTGATCTTGAACAAAAATAAAAAATCATGGGAATTATGTTCAACCTCATAGAAACCTGTTTCAAGTCGATTAACGCTATTTATTTTATCTTTTATCTATTATCTATATATTATCACTGTTAGTGTTGAAACATACATTGTTTTGTTTTTCAGATAACGGAGGAAGTGAACCAGATCCTTTCGGCAAAAGGATATCCTACAACGTGTCGAGGCACCATAGAAGTTAAAGGCAAAGGTACCATGCAAACCTTTTTCCTGGACGGCCCAACTCAGCCAGATCTGATGAAGGATCCTCTCCAATCTGCGTCTACTCCCACCACCAATATCACGGTCAACCCATTAGCCAACCTCAACGAAAAACAAGCCGTTTCCAACACCCCTCTATTACTAGGTACTATATCGGAGAAGAATTGAGTTTCTTTCAGGAATCTTCCTCCCAAATGATTTACGAAGGCCCAATCAAGCGGCCTAAGTACCCTACAGGTCCTTTTCATCGTTATTGGCTATTTCAAAGATACAATGCATTTCTGTTCACACTATGCTTTCAAAGCCAATCTCCAAAGGTTTTAAGGTTCATCTTAAAACATCATACCAGGAACCAGATATACCTTACCAACCAGGATCAAAGATTTAATAAAAAAAGTGCATATCTTTATATTTCGTAAATTCCACTTTCACTGTAGAGAAACATTTTAATTGTGGCGCGCGGTTTACCTTTTACTTTTATTAGAGGCTCTATAATAGAGATGTTACATGTTACCCACTCGAAAATGGTCAGGACTCAGGACTCTATAAAGTACACATATCACTAAACTCATTTTTAGATGCCGTTATTTTTTTTATTATTTCGCTGATTGTGAACGAATCAAGTCCTGAGTAGATTTTTCATTAAGCGAAAGCAGCTATTTTCAGAGCCATAAAACACAGGCTAAACTTATTATCTATGCTTAGAGTTGAAAAGTCCCTAAATCTTATTAGAAACAGTACCTGATCCGGGTTTTTGGCTCTTTTTATTGTTTAATCAATTTTTTATGTCTTATACATGTTGTGCATAGAATCGTTCTGATTCTGCGCTGTAGGCTCTCATGATGTCAGAACTTCTTTGTGATTGGCTACTGGAGAATCAAAACGGTTCCAGAATAGTTGCCTGTAGAACCCGAACGAGGCTATAATCACCTTCTTGATAGAAAAACGTTGCTCATGAGAGAAGTCGTCAGACAGCTTTCTAATCTTTACTTTACCTCGGTAACGTTTTAGTTGGATCATAAATGTTTTACCGTCATAGCTATCTTTGCATTTTTTTAAATTATTCTTTTGGATACTAATTACTAAGGGCCCTTCTGTACAGTAATGGAATCTGAATAAAATTGTTGTGGGAAAATTAGCCATGATGTAGCTTTTAAGTCTTAAACCAACAAGCTCTCCTCAACTTACTATCAATTGCGGATCGCGAAGCTCGCGGTAATAGGTATATAGATATATTAGTCTTGTACAATGGCCACTTGGGCGCTAGTGTCGCATTTCTTCATGAGGGGGAATGAACAATTATATGACAGCGATACTCTGTCTTGGATTTTCTGATCCATATTGAACGCGTGGAAAAAATAGTGGCCCATTTCATTTTGAATGCATAGCACTTGTTCTTTTAGTAGAAGAAATATCCGTCTTGAAGCGAAACTATCCACACAGACAGGAAAATGTTGTAAATATTAGACAATAACAGTTGCCTCCATTCTTCCGAATATTCTGGAACACACGATCTACATTGTATGTGTTTATGTAAATGTCAATAAAAAGGGTTTTTTATTCCACGTGTCTATTTTCATTAAAAATAATAAAAATAGAGTTAAGAACATGAACATACTCCTCACTACACATTGTACGTGTTTATGTAAATGTCAATAAAAAGGGTTTTTTATTCCACGTGTCTCTTTCCACTAAAAATAAGAAAAATAGAGTTAAGAACATGTACATACTCCTCAATACACACAGGGTGTTAATAAAGTACCTCCCTATTCTTCAGGAATGATTCTTAAGACGAAAAGTTTATACAGAGTGATACAAAAACAATGGCAAAATGACACTAGTCACGTAAACATGGGTGTCAAAATATTCCCTTACCGAGATACAGGGTGTTGAAGCTATTTGAAAATCGAGTGCGTTGACTTAATTTTTTTATATGCAGTACTAACAGCATAAGCAACTCTACCCCACCAACGGTGTAGAAAGTAATATTTTGACCCCTATGGAAGGGGCAAAAAAATATCTATACCACTGTCTTTTCTGGAGCACTTGTTGCATACTTAGGTAAGGTATTATTCTTTTAGATAAATTGTCTCTCTTGATAAAATATTATAAGACTGTCCCTTTTACATTTACATAAATATTGGTTTGAATATTTGAGGAATAATACGTACAAAAAAACGTAAATCAGTCCGAATTTAAACATGTACAAGTACAAGTTAGTAAAGTTTGACATTGAAAATTGTATTTAGTATATTAGAGAAGTAATCCCGTTTCACCACAGCATCATTCGAAAAATATTCCTTTCTTTTTTTTCAATCAGTCTCATTAGTGGCGTTACTAACTCTAACCTATATTTATAGGAACATTTTATGTTATTTTCAGCTATACTTTCTGTTCGAGAATTTCTTAATCCCCCTGTATTGACGTAAATCTTGCATTGGTATGGTTTAAAGATACAGAATTTCACATATTTGAAAAATCGTATTTCAAAATAGCATTCACTCGTCCATCCTAGTTACTTCTTGAGCTTCATTGAAATATCCTTGTGTCCGAAATTTGGGCTTCATAAGTGGGCTTTTTTTTAACTTCATTTTTGTCCTTTAGTTGCGGGAAACGGCATTCACTAGAGCCGACAGTGGCGCAGGAATTTTAAATTGTTTTCCGGATTTAGAATGAGCAGCAGCTCAACTGGTCCTAATAAGTGCATTATTGAAAATCTCAAATTGATCTTGAACCATCCTCACTGCATAAAAAATGCTTCTCTAACACTTCATTACAAAATTCTGCGCACTTTACATAATACGTTAACAACAAGATCTGCACCTATGTATATCAGCCATTTCTGGAAATTAACCATTCTCCACTAATCGAGAGAATACCGCTCCCGTGCGAAAGTGCGATGCTCAGGAAATACGCACGGACTTCAGGAATGCCATTTGCAACGATACCTAGATCTTACCTCATCTGCAACGCGTATTTCTCTACACGGCCTCACCTTGGACATACATAAGTTGAAACTTTGGGAAATAATGGAAAATTTCAGTAGCAGTTTGGTATGCGTGAAATAGACATTTAAACATGTCTTTTAAAACTTTACTTGAAAGATATATGTATTATCTTAAAGCATTTTTAGACAGTCATAATAATACATAAAATTAGTAATATATACAGGGTGATTCAAAGAACACTGGCAATATTTCTAAGCCTTCTGTCTTATAGTAAGTTCAAAAATAATACGAAAAGTTTATGAATTAAATGCCCCCCTACCGAGATATAGGGTGTTCCAGTTATAATTTTGAAATCCACAGAGTTATACCGTTAGAGTGGATAAAGGTATCGAGGTGTTTGCCTACTAAACTGTCGATGTTAACGGACTATTTTCATCAATCCCCTGAAGCTACTGGCTACTACTACAATATGTGCTTTTTCTTTTTCTACAATTTTTATTTATTTTTTTCCTCCACTCGCTATTCAGTTCTATATATTTGCCGAATGAACTTTGAAAAGTTAATTTCACTGGATTGTTTTCATTAATGCTCCGATGACATCGACGACTCCAAACAACTTACGTTTGCCATTGGTATTGCAATTGAACACCACACTTTCAGGTGAACAGGAAGATGAGTTAAGTGCTACCAGAATCTATTCTGGTGGAACCTTAACCTTCTATGGCTTGTATAAGGGAAACTCTCTGCTGGTTGCATCACCACCATTTTTTATACTAAGCTCTGGAAGGACGTTCGAGTACAAAAGGTCCAATGGGCCTAAGCACTGTAATCTTGGCTGTTTTGTACATAGGTGTTTGCCTAAGAACTTCAAAGTCAGACTGTTTTCGAGGGGGTTAACCGCGTGTCACTCGAGCTTTTTTGCCTAATAAAATTGCAAAGTCATTTTACTAACTATTTCCATTAGTCTACCTTCCGACGTTGATTCCACTGGGCTATGTTCATTATTTGCCCGCCGAGAACATGCAAAAATTTTGCAAGCTAACTGTACCAGTAGCCGTATAAAGTAGGATATTTTGACCCCTACAGAGATGGGAAAATACTTTCTTTGCCACTGACTTTTCTGAAACAAATATTGAATGTTTAGACAGTGTATTTTCCATACATAGTCTCTGTTAGAAGTTTATGTCGGATGTTTTCTTCTGAAGGAAAATTGGTTTGAATAGATGAGCTATAGTCCTTATAAAAATCTTTGTCTTTGAAAATTTACTGGAGTTAGTGAGTTTTACATTAAATACATACAGGGTGACTTTGAAGTTGAGTCATTAATTTTCAGATAATGATTGTAGAAGGAGATAACCAAATATGTGTATAAAATAAAAAAAAATAAAAAAAAATGTTACCTTGTTTAATGAAGTATCCTCCCGACAAGTATTTCAGTGCGGACCTGTATTTGATCGTGCGGTCTTGAAGCAGCATGCCCTCACCTGTGAGGTCTTAAGTCACCTGATCACGAGCCCTTTGTACTACATTAACAAAGGCACGAGGGGTTGGTTGCACTCGATTGGGAACCGATTCGCATAAATCCGTGATGCATCCGGGAGCATTTGTAAAGACTGCCCCCCCGTAATAAGAATCATGTCCACAAGTTCAGCATTTTCGTAAACATGTGCCATTTTTGATTTCGTTTGAGCCACGCAACACACTACTATTCACTAACGCGTTATCGACAGACGAAAAACATCGTGATAAACGTTTCAAATTCTTTCGCTTTTTTGTTTCCGATGCGATGAACCGGTCAGGCGGATTATATCCGTTGTCGCCAAACACCAGCATATAATAGGCA